CACTGGGCAACTAAGCAACCGGACTAGGCCCATTGGCCCTCTCCCGTCCTGCCTCATCAGTCGGGTCCTCACGAGCACCGGCACCACCATCCCCCTCGTGCATGTCCATAGCAGCCCCAGAACCCACATCGGCAAACAACTCGGCATCCTCAAACTCTATCACAAGAGGAAACACCTCTCCCCGATAAAACCAGTTAACCACGTCCGGGACAAAATCAATGTCCAGAACACCCACTAAGAGCCGGGCCACCCCATGTGCGCGGGTGAAAGCCATGTCCACTTCCTCAGTCTTACCCACCAGCATACCCAAACTCGCCACTACTCGAGCATCGGTCAAAGCCTCAGATGGGCCCCCTGAAAACCGCAGCCACACCTGTGTCAGCAGTTTGCCCTTAGGCTCCTCCTTCTTCCACTCGTGAAACTCCAGGATGCACTTAGTACCAGGCACCCTGCACAACCCGAAACTCAACAGCTTCTGCAAGTCGTCCACCGTTGGGAAATCAACCCTAAAGACATTGTCCTCGATCCGAACAAGCTCCCACTGAAAGTCACCGGGAGCCAATTCCTGAAGTCTCTACACAATTTGAGCCTCAGACACCACCTCTCGGGTGGCTTTCACAATGCCAGTAGTCATAGTCTGAGTCTGAACAGTAATCTCCCTCGCCGCCGGGGACTCAAAGAAAGTGAGCTCGGCACAATATACTCCATACATCGTGAGCGCAGGAGCCTGATCACGCATAACCGGGCAGTCCCCCATAGCATGAGCATTCTTACCACACAAGCTACATAGTTCCGCCATGCATTCAGCAATAAAGTGGCCTTTCTCACCACATCGATAGCACAACATATTTTCTTTCTTACGTGCCCATTTGGACGCCCTCTCAGACTCAGCCCTGTCCCCTACCTCGGCATCTCCTCCAGTAGTAGGAACCTCCACATTGGCCAAACCCGTCACAACCTCCATCGCCTGGCTAGGCAACTCAGTCGACTGCACAGGATCAATAGCCATATCCGAAGCGGCATGGTCAACCAAGACCGGTGTTGGGAGCGGCTTGCGAAACCGACCACGACCACCACCCCGTCCACCACCACGGCCACCACGATGGCCACGGTAACCACCTCTCTGCCGGTTGTTCGGGCCCGAAGCCCCCTCGACGAAACCACCCGCCGGGCCAAGGAATGGTCTCTCATCGGAACCATCACTTTGCCAGGCGTATCCGCGTCCACCTCCCGTAGACGACGAACCACGGTGTTGGCCTTTTCCGTAAACATCGTAACCATCATCTCCCCACTGTCCTTTGGGAGGCCCATTAGCTCCACCAGCCCCTGCATCCGGCAGTACCTGCGGTGGATCCGAACGTTGTTGCGTCGGCCTCGCGACATAGTGAGGCGGCAGCGCGGCACGAGGCACTGATGGCACAACACCCCGCCCCACGACAGCTAGCACCGGAGGTCTCGGAGTAGGTGCACCGCCCCCCACAGCAGCAACGACCGGCGCGGAAGGCCGCAGTCCACCTCGTCCGGTAGCCGGCATCGTCCCGGACAGCCCCGCCGGACGTGACATTGGCGGCCGGGCACCATGACCACCGGCCCGACCCACGGTAGGCAGAGACACCGGCGCGAGCGGGCGGAAGGACCCACCCCTACCCGCGGCAGTAACATGCGCCGGAGCCGGTGGGCGGGCACCAGGAACTCCAGCTCCACGGCCAAGAGTCGACGTATTTGCACCCACTGGTGCCACGCCCTGACCCGCCGCCGGCACGGCGCGGTTCGTCCCAGGAGCGCCGGCGCCGCGACTAGTACCCAGAGCCGGCTGTGGCACCACCACGCCACGACCACCACCAGAGCCAGGCGGCGGCACAACTCCGGCCCGAGCCGACCCGGCCGGCCCCGCCGCATTCTTTCCTGCGGCCCCCTGTCCCGCCATGAGAAGCGGAGGGATGCGACGGGAACGTCCCCCGCGATCTGCAAGGCGATGAGGAGCGCGGCGACAGTAAACCCTACGTCGCTCGACGGGAGGAGAGAGACCAGCGGGATCGTTGCATGCCTCTCGCACGTAAATGATCGCCTCTTCCGATGGCCCTTCTGTGTCCAGCCCAAGAAGCACCGGCCCACCTGCGACCCCTTCGTTCTGGGCCTCATACCCAGCCGAAGGCGGCCCAGTGGCCACTGGTGGCCCAACAGCGCCAGCCAGCGCATTCAAACGAGCCGCCCTAGCCGCCGCGATCGGGATCGGCGTCGCCGGCTGGCCGTCGCACGACCGCCCTTCTTCCTATTCACTACCACCGTCCACGCTTCCGGAGGAACCAAATCGAGAAGAGTAAGTTTCGGGAGACTTACCTTGGGGATAGGTCCCTTCCATGGCCGAGGCGCCGACGCAACCGTCCTCCGGTGTACGACCCGCCGGAGTAACTCCAAGTTCTCTCCAGGACGCAAGCCGGACCTCGCCGGATCCTCTGGAGGAACCACTGCCTCCACAATCTCCGCCACTTCATCCTCATCGTAGCCGGGATTGAAGGCTTCACAAATGACATCTGAGGGAGTCGGTGAATATTCCGTCGAGCCGCCGGAGCGTCCGCCGTCTTCATCCTCATCCCTGCTGTGCTCTTCCGCAAGCGCCCAAAATCGCCCGCCGACCTTCCGTCGATCACCGGGGGTGCCCGCCGTCGACACGCCCGGCGTCATGTGTTCGCCCGTGCGGTCGCCCGTGCGGTCGCCCGTGCTTCGGTTGACCTGCCAGCTGGAAACGTTTCCCCAATGCTCATCTAGCGCATCTAGCAGGCTACAAAGTTGCTCATGATAATATATGCATAGGAAGTGCAAAATATTATTGATTTGCACACTACCGTGAAACATCATTCTCTCCGAGGTTTGAGAATATTCGAAAAGCTCCATCTTTTTAGCGCCATTCACGGTTCATGAGTACAAAATTCGCCAAATAGGCCAAAACAAATTTCTAAGACATAATTTATCATTTCGTCCCAAGAAAAGGATATGCTTCCTTCAGCAATTGCTAGAAGTAGCTCAGTTCAATTTTTTGCACGGACTGTCGGACGATATTCTTTTGTGATTGGACATATAAAAACTATGCGTACTTACTTCTTTTTGGTTGTGATCGGGGGATGTGATTCGGTGCTGGTGTGATCCGACGTATGCTATGTGATCGAATGGTTTTGAATTCCAAATTGATCGCACTGGCGGACAATTAAGGGATAAGATTGGATGGTCGGTTCCCACATTCGTGTTCGCGGAGTGGTCCCCCTATTCACGGACGGATGCGGTGTCTGGTTTGGAGGTAAGCGTTCGAGATGCCCTTAGTGCCAAGTGAGTTGTGGATGTAGTGGGCATTGTTGTTTGAGAAAAAGGGTTTCCCCCCGCTTTGTATTCCAAAGCAACCATCTGATACATCCGACAATAGGTGCTGGGGCGGAAGCAGCACAAACACGCCCAAAAGAAAAGAAAAAGAAAAGGAAAAGAAACAAATGCCGATAACGGCGGATCGACAAAAACGAAGAAGCCTCACAACCGCTGCGTCCACCGGAGAACGCCCACCAAGCTCCGAGACTCCGAAGTGCCGGTACCAATCAACACCTCCAAGAAGGAACGCGACGATGACGACGCTGCTGCCAAGGGTTTCCCCCGGTACGCGGCGAGGAGAGAGGAAGGGTAGCCCCGACGCCCTTCAGGAAGGTCTGGCGGCACCCTCAAGCGCCACCGCGTCGGTGTCGCCCAAACCAACAGGGATTTCTCCCGGTCCCATCCTCTACCTCAGGCACTTCAGAGTTCGCCACCAAACCGACCACCACCCAACGCCAACACGGACACGAAGCTTCCCACGCTGTCTCACCACAGCACCGCGAAGATGGCCTACACAACGAAGAAGAGGAGCCGGGACTAGTGGAGCAGCACCATCAGCATACGGGAGGGCCCCACCTCCACCGTCCACGACGGTAGCCGACCGGACGCCATAGCAGGAGCCTACCGGGCCCGTGGCCCCACAGGCCCGGCCGGGCCCTCAAGGCCCGGACAGCTCCCGCCTCCGCGCAACAGCTGGCATGCCGCCGGCGTCACTGTCCCAGTCCAAGCCGCTCCCCTACCTCCCCATATAGAGGGCGTCGCGGTCGCGCCGGAGTCGGCCCGCAAGGACCCAAACGGGCCCAGATCTGGACCGGGGGCATGCCGCCGGCCGACCAGCACCACCGGACCACCCTGCCACCAAGAGGCGGCACCACCACGGCGAGCGCCGC